ATGATATCGTATAATGACGATGATGATGGTATAGTATATAGTAAGTAAAATAAATTTATATAGATTTAGTTAATATTGGTATTTACAATAAAGATTTCACTGTGATATTAAATTGAAATTTTAATTTTAACAAGTTTAGAGAACGACGCATCAGAATCGACCCCATTAGCTTTACATAATGCTCTGCATAATATATCGTGCTATATTGTCCACATATACGAGTATTGGTGACGTAATAAAAAAATATATTATAGTTCCATATGTGATAAGCTTTATTAGATTGTGGGATTCTCTTAATATTTTGTAATATTCCCCAATTCCCTGTCAAGAAGGGAAAAGGATTGTTAAGAATAGGGTCTAAAATACCAATTGCTAGCAATATACTCTATCAGGTCTACCTCCACGCAGTTCCCCCTGGAAACCATCGTGATTAATTCTTGTGGAATTCGTCACAACGGACCAACGGGTTAACTGACCTGGGCCTCTAGACAAGTGGCAAGCAAATTCGTCGATGGAATCGACATCGCTAGCGAGTCCGTGAGTTGGAATGAGCGTTGCTATCTCATTCTATCTCACGGACTCGCTAGCAATGTCATTTCCATCGACGAATTCGTTTGCCACTTATCTAGAGGCCCTGCTTCATTCTCTCTTGTCATCCCTCACTGATGCTCCGCCAGCGTAAACTAAAAGCGCAGACTGGGTTACTATTCCATTATTGCCCATAAAAAAAACCCTCTGTTGGGAATTCCCTCATATATTACGTACATACTATTATATCGATACATTAGCGCAGTAGTTTAGTCATATTTGCCTAGCTATAAACCACTACAAAGAAATAATGAAAGTCTTTAAACTATGTTGAGGCTGTGACGGCACAACTGACGTAAAGTTGCATAAATCATCAGAAATCATATGGTTTTGTTCAGGATATCGATGGACTAGGAATCCGCCCAACTTCATACGGATAGATAGAAAAATAAATTAATATTGTATATTATCTTTAAAAGCCTGACTTTTGATACATTACCGTTACATTATTTTAATTTTCATGGGGATCCATGTTTTTAGTTAAAAAAATATATATAACTTTTGTTACGCGCTAATAATACAGTTTTCTATAGGTGAATGATTTTTAACATCGATTGAATTGTTCTTGAGTTTATTTATTACAAATGAATATACAAAAAAAAATCCTCTTTATACATAATATTATGAGAAAAGCAAGACCTTTCCAGCTATAACAATTTATGGAAGAAGCCTATGTTCGACAACTGACAAAAACTTTCTGATATGACGATACTGATGCTAATTAATAAGCTAATATCATAAATGTAAAAATTCATAAAGATGTTTGAGTATTTGTTACTCAATCACGCTTAAATGGCTGTACGGATTTGTATGAAAGATACAGTTTATATAATGATACAAAAGAATATATTATATACCGATTCACGCGGGCAAAGCCGCTAATTAGCCAATTATACAGCTAATTATAATATATAAATATAAATACAGCTAATTATATCATAAGTCTTATTCAAATATACTTACGCGTATCGTTTTTTTAATTTATTAAAGAACCTTTGTCTTGTTGTTGTTTGTTGATTTGAAGGGTGGGATATGGCGTGAATTTACAGGGTACAGATGAATAACACCTGAGTCCTCAGGAGTGGCAACGCATGGGGGGTATCATGGGCGAAACAGTACACTCTGTTATGTCCATGGTACTGCTCATGTCTATAGGCGACGGTTACCACTTTTCATTAGGTGGGCCATCAGCTTGTTTGCCATTCTAAGTTGTATAAAAAAAAGGTAAAGATGAAAGCAGGTCAGTTAGCCAATCGTGATGAATTTCATAAGAATAAGCATGGTAATTTCCAGGGAAGAACTGCGTATATATATATATATATATATATATATATATATATATATATATATATATATATATATATATATATATATATATATATATATATATAATTTCATTTATTTCAGATACTCTACGTACTTTCCATCCTCCATAATAAAACAGCTTATTTTTACTGTTATATTGACACATTCAAAGTAGCAATAACATGTAAAATTCCACAAGCAGAATCTTTCTATTGGTACGGTTATCTTCTGTCAACAAGAAACACGATACACGTGCCTCTATAGACATGGAAGATTGCCTACAGTTATTTCCCATAATAAATATATGTAGGTTGACGATCTCTTATGTATCAATTAAGTTATTTTTAATTTATCTGTTAAGCTACGGTAATTGAATTTGCAAAAACTACATGCTAGTCTTCTCTCTTTGCATGACCTATATTCCTATAACATATTTTAAATTACAAGTTTATCCTATTAATATAATAAATGCAAATACTTATAACGATGGATGCTTTTTCATGCAAAAACTACTGAAGTGATTTGAATTAAATATAGTACACAGCTAGGTTATATTCACACATATATATATATATATATATATATATATATATATATATATATATATATATATATATATATATATATATATATATATATATATATATATAATCCATTACAAATAAACAATCGAAATTTTGTTCTTTATATTTAATATTATTATAGTATCTATGGCATAAATATTATATATTATATGTATTGTCATTCTTGAGACCTAAAATGTTATGTCTCCAAACCTTCTTAGGTTCAAGGAATTCCAGAAATCTTTGCTCCAAACATGTACATTTCAGGACACACCGAAACATGCAGGCACAACTGCTTCACAGAAGAAACAAGAGTGAAACCGAGGTATGTATAAATACAATATAGTATGTAGACGACTTTTCAACCTACTTCAGAAAGAAGAAGGTTCTCAATTTCTCAAATTCTCAATTCGGCTGAATTATTTATGTTTGTTATCTGATAACTCCAGCTCTAAGCCGAAATTGAAAATTATTTTTTTATCTGTAGGAATATACTTACAAATTGGTCCTATAGAAATTTTATCCAAATCGGTTTAGTTTTAATCAGTAGTTTAGTTTTTAGATTAAAATAACTGCTTTTACCATAATCAAAGTCGATTTTTTTGTAATAATCTTTAATAATGGAAAGTCTCCCTCTGGTAGGTATTTCTTTTTATAAATAGCAAATTATGTTTTGCAACACTATATACTAATATGTGGAGCATCGTTCAACCTCGAACGTAGAAACGATGGCTTGAAAACGTAAACGATTTATTACCATGTCGACTATGTACATAATAAACGTTCAGTGAGTAGGTACCACTGATAATGCCCGTCTTATGGTATGAATTATCAGGTTAACAAACAATTCAATGTATAAACAGCAAACAATGTTATCTAAATAATGTTGATATTACAACCCTGTTTCAAAGGGGTTTCTTAGAATTATTTATATTACAGTGGTTATGCCCTCGACTTCGTTCGCATGACGAGTGTAAATAGCAACATTATTTCCTTCTCTGTCCTAGGTATACGTGTAAAAGTTAGGATTTACAATCCCGTAGTGTTTTCTTTCCAGCTAGAATTTTGAGGTAAATTTACTATTATAGCGGGATTCGGCTGTAATTTCTGAAGAGATTTAACCCGAGACCAGAGAGCCTACCATGAAATGTTTTCCGAAATTTCGGAGCCAAACGAAACACAAATTTGATGTTAAAATTACATAATACATGCCATTTGGAAATAATAAAAATGTTAAAACATTTGGACTTTTATGATAGGATATATGACGAACGAAATGTTAAATTCCATTTATTGGTCCGATTTTAGTATAAACAAAAACACGAAACTGAGTCCGAAATTTCGGAATTTCATTTCATGGTAGACCCGCAGATTTAACGAGAGATTTAATATCGAATATTCGATTTTTCTCTTAAAACTTTAGTATTTTTTTAGCTGTTATTTTATTAAAAGTAATTTTTATTATCTTATAACTACAGTTTTTTATCTTTATAAAGTGTTTTTTACTTTTATTTTTTTTAACTTAAACTAGTATATAAATAAATGTAAAAACTATATACTAAGTACATATTAAAAACTATGTTTATTAAATAAGAATCAAAAGAAATCAGTACACATTACTCTTGTTACTTGTACATTTACTATATTTCTATCTACTTACCGTACTTAAATCGTACAAAAATTTCCCGCGCTGGATTTACTGCACAAAAGCGGGAAATCCACTGACTTGCGGGAAATCGCTGGAATGAGGTAATGTTGAATGTGGGATTTGCAAGCCCCAATACGAGTTTGTAAAATTTCATGAACTGTTAAAACGCCAAGTGTCGCTACACTTTCATACTTTGAACCTACTTCAAAAGAGCGATTCTCAATACGGTTCTATTCTTTTGATGTTTGTTACTTTATAATTCTGTCATTTATAAACCGATATGGTAAATTCTTTTTTTTTTTATCAGAAAGTATATTTTCTTTAAGATTAGTTCCATATAAATTTTATCGAAATCAATTCAGTAATTTTTAATTCAAAATAACTGTTTTTGCATTGATTGAAGATTTTTTTGTGTAACACAAATTTACTTTATTAATATATTGTATTAATAGGGATCTTGGTCTCTAAGAATTGTAAAACTGCTGTTTATATTATTTTAAAATTGCTGCCATATGGATACGGTGTTACTATGTAGGTACCTTCTCTGTGTGTATTATTAAGTATTCTATCATTTTGCACTCAGGTTTTAAATTTAATCTCATCCCACGAAAGGTGTATTATCGGTTGATAAATCTTTAAATATTTTAGTTGTCCTTGACCATTTCTTTCAGTGATTGTATTTTTTTTTTGGTGCACGTATTGTTTTTGAAATTTGGTATACGGCCAGGTTATATCCTAACTTTACACATAAGACATAAGTAAAGCAAGTCACACAATAATTATTAAAACAATATATTATTTACAATTAATAAATTGTTAAGTGTTCCAAAATGAAACTGTATTAAATAAATAATTTATTCTTTGACCATATATTTCTAATAAAATAAAAATGCAAGTATGTTTAAAAGAAAAATGTATTTTTCTTATTAATTAATATTTACAGTAATCCTTAACTAAGCCCTAAGCCCCCCCCGAGCGACTCCACTGCAGGACAAAGGTACAGTTCTCAATTAAAAGCAGCTGAGATGCAAACCACCATGGAAGACCTCTGATCCGAGCGACTAGCCCACGAGAGAATACTCAAGGGGTTCCGTCACTTTAGCCCCATAGGGCCGGGTCGATCGACCAAACCATGGTCCACTTGTGGTCCATAAACAAAGGACTCTTTCTGCACCATGTACCTGCCGCGTTTCATGAACAACCATATGCCCAAACATGATCGCTCCAAACCCATAGAAACTATTTACAAAAAAAATTGACTGCTTTGAAAACACGAATAGAAATTAAAATATTTAAGATTTTTCTTTTTGTTAAATTTTTTTTCTTGGATTGTAATTTTTTTTTTATTTTTTTTCTCTAACATCATTTTACAATCACGTGATGATAAACAACGAATCATAGAAAATTGTAAACAATTATAGTAGTTTGCTGCATTACAATGTTTCATTACCTATTAATTAAAATTATATTATTTAAAAAAATCAATTTTTACTTTTTCAATAAATGTTTCGATTATCTATTTACAATTACAAACTGTTTGAACATTTACAGAAGAAAAATTGTATTACAAAAAAAAATTAGGAACATAAATGCTATCTTTATATGTATATGTCAAACATATATTCTGAGTAGTATGTTGCGTGTACTTACATTTACAACTAAACATGTTAACAATAACTATCTCCTCTATTCATAAAAACGAAGTTCATTAAATTAATATAACCTCTTTTAGCTATTGAAGTGTTTTTTTTTTTCCTTTTACACTAAATTCTCAATTAAAACAAAAATAAAAGAAAACACTGCAATAGTTAAATTTGTAAGTTTTTTTATGAATGAGATAGTTACTTTTCAGTATTAATATGCCCAAGATATATGTTCAATTATTTTTGTTCTTTTTTTTTCTTTATAATTCTCAAGATTAAGTACGGAAAATTAAAATAGATTCATAATCAATGTAAATATTACTAGTAAATTACAATTTATGCTAACTACATACAAATATGTAATAAAAGTCGTGTTCCTTCATCTTCAACGCAGCCTAGTTTCTTCATAACACACACTTGTAATTTTCATTCAAAACGACAATTGTTATTTCTTATATTTCGTTCTTTTTAGTATCTAGTCTTGATATCAATAATCTGTTTATTCTCTCTTCTCAATACACTCTTAGAATATTCCAGAATTTAAGTGCTACTTCGAAGTAAATATACAACAAAACTCTTGCTCTCATCTTTATATGTCGATTACATAAAATAATACATGCTTCATCAATTATTTTTCACTTTCATACATTTGTCTTCAAAAAACTTATCAACACAATTATGCTAATAAAATCAATTTAAACGACTCCTTCGTCCATCTGTAAGTTATTTTTTCATTATCTATTTATTTTAATAAAAATATATTCTCTTCTTATTCACTATTCATCAGCACAGCCCAATTTTAAAGTGACGTCACAGTTTCATTTGACAAACGCTTCAGGCGGTATTTTGCCTTCTGACTGAAGTTGATTGAATACAAACAACGCTCTCTGGAAATCCCAACCAGTTTCTTGCAAACAACTGTAAGAAATATACATTTTCATTTTGTATTTCGTTTTCTAATATAATAATTTATTAAACCATGGTAACAAGTAAACATAAAACCTGTCTGACCGGGGCAGAACATTGCTAGTAATGGACTCGCCGTCGAGTTTTATCCTTTTAGAGGTTAAATCTTAAAAATTCCTTTCTTATTGTTCACCTATACTATATAAAAGACCCTATCTGCAAAATTTCAAGCATCTAAATTCAGTGGTTTTCGACTGTCAATTGATATATGTGTCAGTCAATCCGTCAGCAACTTTTTTATATATAAAAAAATCCAATATGAAATGCAGAGGGAAGAAAGAATTATTAATAATAGGAATTAACAACCCCATTATTAGCAATAAACTTTATCATGACGACATACTCGCGGTTCCCTCTGGATACTATAATTGATTTATTGTTGAATTTGTCACGATGGGCTAACTGACCTTCATCCTCGCCTATCATCACTCACTGGTGCCCCGCTAGCGTATACCGATAGCACAGACGGGGTTGCCATTCCATTATTGTTATTTATGTATAATATTATATTTTATATTGTACTCATGTTTACTGGGTCAGCGTATAGAAAGACAGTAAGTCTCACTCAGTTAATGTAATAAATAAATAATTAACTAATAAACAAAATATATAATACAAAAAGCGACGTATACTAACTTCATACTCCAGAACTCGTTCATGCCGGTCTGCTGGCCTAGCATGTTGAGCATCATCTTCCTGGTGTCGTCCGTGACGCCAGAGGGCGCGGCGGCGACAGGCGCCCCCAGCGGCTGCGCTGGCGTCGGTGTCGTTATTGACTCGCCCGACGCGAAGGCTTTCTCTTCCTATAAATAAAATATTGACAAATAAGTCTATAAGTATATAATATCAATAAGAGAGAGAGAGAGAAAGAGAAAGAGAGAGAGAGAGGAAGAGAGAAAGAGAGAGGGAGAGAGAGAAAGAGAGAGGGAGAGAGGAGGAGAGAGAAAGAGAGAGGGATAGAGAAAGAGAGAGGGAGAGAGAAAGAGAGAGAGAGAGACTGCAGAAAATTATCTGATTGAGTACCTCTGTTCTACTCATATTTCTGTTGTGATACAGCTGTGCTTGCTTGAGTTTGTTTCTTTTTAAAGGATGTGCTCATCATCATATCAGCCTTTAACTGTCCACTGCTGAACATAAGCCTTCCCCCTTCTCATTGCCACACTTGGCAGGCAGATTGGCAATCATAGACTTTAAAAATATTTTAAGAGGGACACTGCTGCTTATCCCTCGCCCTCCCTTAGTCGCCTCTTACGACACTCACGGAAAAGGAAGAGATGGTCTATTCTATGCCGGAACTACACGGAACGGAAAGAATGTGATATGACAGTGAAATTATGAGGTATAAAAGCATGACACAATAGTCGTCTACAATGACAATACATGAGAATCTCATAATATATTCTATATCCAGCATTCACACTTATCTGATATATCAAAATGTACTATTAATAGCTCTAAATTTCTAAATCCATTGAAATCATTTATTTATAAGCTTTAATGCAATAATCTCGCATATAATAAAAGTAACAGTGCAGTGCGAGGGATAACCAATGATGCAGTTTTAACTTGTCCCGAATAATTACATGACAATTCAGGACAAATTGCCCTCTAAACTAAGTCCACTGAACAACTAGTAGGAAATAATTCTTTATTTATTTTTAATTTTTTAATACAATGTTTACTGTACCACTAATTACCTGTTCTTTAGTCGTGTTCGTTACGTAAAGTACATCATTTATTACGCAGAATCCACCTCCTGTATTGGGAACGACAACAAATGTCCGATGAAAGGAACGCGTAGGGTTGCCAGCTGTACTCGTCTCTTTGTAAACGCCGTTCATTGTCAGTACTATCATATTTGGCTGTAAAAAAAAATATATATATATAACTGTTAAATAATCACCAAAAGACGATCGCATACTAAGTTGTATGCATGGATACTACTATTTCTATCCATCAGACATTATTCTTGGTGCAGTCAATTAAAAAAATAAACAGTAATTTGGGATTCAATCAATAGCAACATTATATCAGCTGTTAACTGCCTACTGCTAAATATAGGCCTTCTCCTATTGAGAATTTTTACCAGTTGTTGTCACGCTTAGCAAGCGGATTGGTAACCGCAGTTAGGTTTCAGTAATATCTTAAGAGAAATGCTGCCACCCATTGCTCGATCATTTTTTTTTTACAACACAGGGGGCAAACGAGCATGCGGCTCACCTAATGGTAAGTGTCTACCGCCGCCCATGGTCACCCACAACACCTACGGCATTGCAGGTGTGCTGCCGGCCTTTTAAAAAGGAATATGCTCTTTTCTTGAAGGTTATGTTGTCGTATCGGTTCGGAAATACTGCTGCTGGAAGTTGATTCCAAAGAGTGGTTGTGCGTGGGAGAAAGTGCCTTGAAAAACGCACTGTAGGGGACCGCCACTCGTCCAGATGGTGGGATGAAATTTTAGTTTATGGCGGGTTGTACGATGGATTTAGTTCCCTAGTCACTTCTTACGACACCCATGAAAAAAGAGGCATTCAATCAATATATTCTGCTATAAACACCGATAATCATAATCGATTAATATTTGTGCTTTTATATTATTTAATTAGACTATCACTTACAATAATCTAATATCCGTAGTACAGGGGGGAAAGGAATTGTTAGCAATGGAGTTTGATAGCCCCATTGGTAGCAATATGTCCTATTAGGTCGACCTCCACGTGGTTCCCCGTGGAAACCATCGTGAACAATTCTTGTTGAATTCGTCACGATGGGCTAACTGACCTGCTTCATCCTCACCTATCATCCTTCACTGATGCCCCGCCGGTGTATACCGATAGTGCGGGTGGGGTTACCATTACATTATCACCCATTAAAAAAATATCCGTAGTACAAGCTCTCCTTATTTTGGTACTAGATGGCATTGTATTATATCTTCAGCAATATTGATTTTTTCATTTAAATTTTTCTATTGGACGCTTACATTTGTCCATTACCAACCAAGTACTGGGTATAACAAAGATTTCTTATAAGAGCCATTTACGCGAAATTCCGTATAATATAATAGGTTCGCTATAGGATTTTATTTCAAATTTTCTTTCTTTGACATTAGTAAGTATACTGTTTTGTATCTTTAATCACTTGTTACAAAAGAAACACTGCAATCTTGCTATGTCAACATGAAAACCATTTTTCATGAGAAAAAAAAAACAACATAGTACACTCATGTACATGTCTATGGTACTGTACATGTATTTAGGCGACGATTACCACTTTCCATCAAGTGGACCGTCATATATATAATATATATATAAACAATAAATTGTACTCACAGTAAAAACGATCAAATCTACAGCGAATCCCATCAGATCATGTGTAGTTTTTGGTAAATCTGAGAGGAAGGAGACGACTTGCAGGCGTCCCGTTTTAAGGTATCGCCTCCTGGATTCCCGTTCTGTTATTCGCATTATGTTGCGACTGTTTGATATATACGCGTTCAATCTAAAAAAAATTAATAGAAATATAAAATCATAATAAAGAGATATATCTGTTATCAACTGTAATTTCTTTTTTTACTTTGTCAATTATGAACTGAGGGCCAACCATGAAATGTTTTCCGAAATTTCGGAGCCAAATGAAACACAAATTTGATGTTAAAATTACATAATACATGCCGTTTGGAAATATTAAAAATGTTAAAATATTGTTCCTTTGGACATTTATGATAGAATGTATGACGAACGCAATGTTAAACTCCATTTATTGGTCCGATTTTGGTATAAACAAAAACACGAAATTGAGTCCGTAATTTCGGAATTTCATTTCATGGTTGACCCACTGATTTTAACATTTTTAATCCAGCTTAGCTTAAGGTACCTAACCATGTTATTGAAAGTATAATTAGTATAGTGTCCATACAAATTTTATAAGGAATATATGAAAGAAAATACCACTCACCTAGCTGACGGAGAATTTCTGTTGTCGTTGCTTAAGTAGTTGGCGGCCATTGACATACTGGCGTGTTCGTGATATGCTTCTAACAGCGGTTGCCGCGATTCTGAGTCGTATATCGCGAAGTATTGGGTTAAGAATTCCCTGACAAGGTCTTGGCCGGCCGGGTCCACTAGGAACGACTGCTGCCGTGGTGGCAATGTGACATCTTCTGACACGTCGAATCCGATTGCTGGGGGCAGGTCCACTCCATCCTAGTATAATTTTTTGTATATGAAATATATAAATCTACCAACCAAATACAAGAGTCAAATATTGAGTTTTCCCATTAGAAGTGCCACAATTTTAATATAGCAGTTACTAACTCTTAAGTCTAAATCTATGGTTTCCTAGTACTAGGTGTATACGGCAGCAAATTTGATCTAGCGCCAATAAATCACTGCTACTGTTCACGTTCTTAAGAAAAAACCACTAGCGAATCACCTGAGATCAAATTTACTACCATATAAACCAAGATTATATAATTATATACATATATCACCATATATACCACCATAATTATATATATTACAAAATTATAGATATCACCAAAGTTATTAAAATCTATATAGCTGTCGATAATTGCCAATAGCAACTTCCTACCCTAAGAAATCCGAACTTAAGGAGACTGCTAGATTAAAATTAAATTTATAATAAAAAATATTTGTTTTTAATACAACTTAAAATGGCAAATAAGCTGACGATCTACCTGATGGAAATATTAACTATTATTAACACGATGATATAACAGAACACGCAGTGACAACCATGATACTCCTAATGCCATTCCTGAGCACTAAATTATTGTACCTCCAATAATGTCACTGCCTTAAGTGGCCCTCTATAAAACATATCACATTTACTTTTCGAGACAATAATACTTCTACTCGTATAAAGCAAAATGACCTTTATTTCTATCCGCGCAGAGAACAGAATCGATAAAATGCGAGAACAACCAACTATATCAATACAATTTATACTTAGGGTATTTAGAAATAGGAATAATTTTACTATGATACCTATGGTTACAATATTAGGAATTAAAATACTGGACGTGTTATTTGAAGTAATAGGAAATAATCAGAAACTTTACAGGTTACTTTGAGATTATAACAACATTAAATATATACATACCAGAAGTAGTAGATGGAGAATGTGTTTCGGTTTGTAGGGTGGCATACAACAGTGAATTTACATGATACAGAGGCATAACATCTCAAGAATGGCAACGCATGGATGGTATCATGAGCGAGACAGCATACTTTGTTATATCCATAGTATTGTTCATGTATATAGGCGACGGTTGCTGCTTTCCATCAGTGGGACCGTCAGCTTGTTTGTTCAAAGTTGCATAAAAAAGAACTATAAATTATTTATTTAAACTTTATTGACCAATAAAATATGGTACCAAAGACGGACTTAATGCTCTATCAGTCAACCTTTAGGATGTAGAGAGGTAATCGATGACGGTTTAAAAAACAACTACCTGTCAATATTGCAAGAACTCGCATTAGAGTCACAATTCAAATTACAAGACACTTACCAGTCTCGTCAGCTTCGGGAACCTCTTCCGGACATCGCTGGAGACAAAAGAATGTGACAACATACGTCAGAGGCAATAAACTGTGAAACTTAAAATTACATGTTAGTTCCAGATAAAAAATAAAAACAAAGCATTTGAAGACATCATTAAATGAAAACGATCGAATTTTTGGATTTTAACATGCATATGCATAGAAGGTGTTATGTACATACCAACAACTATAAATATAGTACACTAAATGCATACTAACAACTAGAAATTATAGTAATTGCGTATAAACATATGTTAGTATGCACATAGCACTATCTAACATCTACATCCATTCGTAGAATTCGAAAAAGCGACATATCACCTTCATCCATTGATGTCTTCAATTATGTAAGAATATGTTTCGTCATCACTTCACTGATCATTCATTTCGTTCGTAGTCAGACAAATATTGTTCAATACAATTTTTAATTTTCGTTCTTTACATAATGCAAAAATTAACGAGTCCATACCACGATTATTTATTTGAATGTACGTTACGTCATTATCGTAACTCTTGTAATAAATTCGAAATATCAGCGACCTCAAATAAGATAATCGTGGTAAGTGCCCGTTATACTGATCCATAATGAATACATAAAAGATTAAAAATATTATTATATTTTTTTTTCTATTCATATTTGTCTTAGTAAATAATCTTGGTATGTTTATTTATCGTTTTAAGTTCAAGAAAAACAGACATATAATATCTGTTTTTCTCAATCAAATCTTATTAAATATGTAATTAATTGAGCATTTTTTTTTATTCTAACAATGTCCTGTTATTTCAATAAAAAAACATATCATGATTATTTACTAAACAAAACATGTGAGAAAAAGTAGACTGTACGAACGAAATAAATTGATAAGTGAAATGATGTTGAATTATAACATTTTTTTAGAGGAAAATGTTACAATAATATGATATCTGACTAGAAGAATAAAAAATTATGAAGTTCGTCAAATTCTCGTTATGCATTTTCACAGATAAGAAAAATATATATACCTTTAAAAAGTACATAGTACAAATAACTCTGTTTGTGATAAAACAAACATCATTATGTGAAAAAAAAATTGTTAGTATAAAAAAAAATACAATGCTTAAAATACTAAGAAACAATCAAATACCACACTATAAATAATTAAATTCATATGTAACATTTTCATGATAATCACATTCATAAAATTCATGTAAGTATAAACGTCAAGAATTGTTTTTATCACAAACAAAGAATGTGTAAACTCACATAAATTTTATGAAAACAATAGTATATTATTACAATGTTAATCTAAAAATAAATAAAAAATATATTTGACGTGTCTAAATGTACAATTTATGATTAAATCATATTTTAATTCATAGATAAATTTCATATTCAATGTAAATTTGAATTTAACATATTCTCAGAATAATTAATTTTCAAATAAAAATTATCTAAAAATTTATATTTAGAAAATTAATCATTATATATTTACCTTCACTTACATTGGACAATTTTTGTAAAATACAAAGCGAAAACCAAGTGATAATGAGCTGATATTAATGAACTGTTTTGTCTCTTTTTTCAAATCGGAAATGTACCAGAAAAGAAAGAGACAAAACAGTTTAATAGGTAAAATAGGTTTGAGACGTCTAACGTTTTTACAAAAAAAAAAACAAAAATCTCTAAAAGTGAATTTATCTCAAAGCGCCAACTTGCTGAATATGGATAAAGGAGATGGATAGGGTTTAAAAACCCCATATTTAGTAATACACCCTATCAAATCGACTCCACGCAGTTCCTCCTGGAGACCCTCGTGGTTAATTCCTGTTGAATTCATCACGATGAGCCAACTGACTTGCTTTCATTCTTACCTAGTTAATACTGGAAATAGTAAATACATATAAAAAAAGAACAATATTAGATATAGCTGCTCAACTGCCTTTTCGCTTTACGTCGTATTCTGCTTCAAGTTGATAAAATATTTCATCACAATTCGATGCAGTTTTTTAAGTACTTCCCATCCGCCTTTTTATATAAAGATGATAACATAAAAATATCACGTTGCATACAATTTTCGTTTAAACATTAAAACGATATTTTTTACTCAAATTTTTGTTGTCTTTAGTACACCTGAGTGACTATGCCAGCCTCGTAGGGAATGTCTAAAAGTCAGTCTGTCACTTCATCAGGGACACCTTTACCCACAAATATAGCCGTTTTGCATTGCGACTGTCAGGTTGACTCTGTATAAAATTGATATTACCATTATATAAAACAAAATATGACAGTTGTCTGGTCTTTGCCTGACTAAACTAGGAATGGCCAGTCCATTGCTCCATACCAATATCCATTTAATTATTTGTTTATTACAGGATCTCTATTTCTAGGGTATACTAATTTTGGTAAATGACAATTTTGTTATAATTTACAAACAATTTTAAAAAATTTACAATAAACTTAGACTCTAAGTGGCAGTATGAGATTGCTATATTCCTTAGTTTGTTTTTATATAATTTAATATCCAACAGATGTTATGTTACATCTGTTCTATATTAAAATATATAAAAACTTTAATTAACACTGTTCTTTATAATACATGATGAAATAGACTATGTATATTATTTTCGTAACCGGTGTATATATGCAAGTGGCAAACAATTTAATTTCCAAAGTTTTTATGTTAAAAACGAAATCAGTCGTCAACATTGTACATTTATAGATGATAAGATAGTAGATGCATTGTCTCATTCTTTCCTATCCACCACAAAGCATAGACACATTCAGAAATAAACGTATACACGTTTGCATTTCTACTTTAGGTCCCAGATCATGTAACTTCACCATATAAGAGACCTATTAATGATTGCCTCAAATGTTCCAAGCCATAAGGTGTCAACCTCAAACTATTTAAATATTACCTGACATATATTTCGTGGTCATTAAACCTGTTCACCAACGGATTTCCTTTGAGGAACAACTCGACCAGTGGTAGCGACTTCAATGAGTCCAATGAACCCACGAATGGTATCTGGAATAATATAGGCGACGATTAGACGATTTACGCGCAAGTACTGTATAAAGAATTGCACTACTCTATACAGTATGGTCCCTCTGTCCCTTTCTCAAAAGTGACTATTCAAAAATGAATGTCTTTATATGTACCATATAAATGAATCAAGGAAACAAGAAACCTGTTTGTAACTTCTTGTAACTAGTTAATGTCGAAACATGGTAGATATTTAAAAAAAATATATGAGAGGACTTAATAAGGCCAAACCAAAACAATATATATAATTTTATTTTGTCTGTTTATATGTTTGTTTCAGTTTCGGGCAAAAACTATTGAATAAAATTGGACACAATTTTCACAAGTGTGTTCCTTGAAGGTCTAATTGAAAATATGGTAGATGTTTTATCTAGATATGCTATCTAGAAAAATTCCATTTTGTTAGTGTTCTGAAATCCACACAGAGTACAAAAAGCTAGTTGCAAAATAAAATATAGAGTACTTACCCTGTTATCACCTAGATACAAAATTTTCAGGCTTTTTAATTTCGTTGATAATATCTTCAAATGTTCTATCCCATGCAGTTTGTTGTCATTCAGATTTAAAGCTTCCAAATCCGGAATGTTATCAGCAATTATATCTATGACAGCTAACATTATCATTGGCCGGAAAAGTGCACAAAATACATCGGCTAAGTCTGTAAAATATGTATAATGTTCAATTAGCTAATTGAAGTTTAATTATACTACAGTTAATATCTAACACAAGTTACATAATTATATAATTATATCGCATTTAAATTCAATTAGTTAATGTACCTATTATGTTCATGCTAACATTCATTACAACCACCTAATAGGCCTATATTTAGATAAATACTCTTTATTGTTCTCTCCAAAAATAACACCAGTGAACTTAGCAATAACAAAATTTACAAGACATATTGCATTTTAGAACAAATTTATAATTTTTTTTTTTTTAATAATAATAATAATGCCCACAATTTTATTTTTACATACAAACACACATACCTACATGCCTTACAATATCCAGTGTTATGAGCCTTCATAATGAAGTATGGCAACCCAAAATTACCTATTAACTTTCAAACACAAATAAACATTTTTCAATTTATCTATTTGATTAAAAAAGTGCTTTGCTAATGAACAAAAAGTTAATCATAGAATATGTTGTATATAAGTCTTCCACTGAAAACTTTACACTTACTTCATACTTTAGAATTTTTCATATTCACTTAGACATTGAAATCCACAATGTCAATAAAAACACATGATCATTTTAGTATATTAACAGAGAACTTTTTAAATAATCATTCTTGAAAATTGTAAAATTGTTTTTGAAAATTGAAAGATTATTGTGATGTTGCAGCATTTCAGTAAGCTAGTTATGAACACTATTACAAATGCATTATTATTCTATCAAAAGAACTATTTTTTTATTTCTCTCTCAGATACCATAAATGTATTATGGTATGTATTATAATGTATTATTTAAATATTAACAATCAATAATATCACATACAAAACATTTTTATAAGTAATCCATCATTGAAATATTATAGACAAAGATGACAGAATTCTGTTTGCTCAATAATTCATCATCATTATTTCAGCCATTCATTATCTATTGCTGAAGATACTTATATGTCTCCACCACAGGAAGGAATTGTTAGTAATGTGGCCTAAATCCCATTGCAAGCAATGCACCCTGTCGAATGAACCTCCAAAGGATTTTGCCTGGACACTATTGTATTAATATTTGTAGAATTCATCACTATGTGCCAATATACAAGACTAAAACGCCATATAAGAAATGGTCCCCAGCTGTAAATGGCTAATAAATAACATTTATTATATTAAAGTGTATTAAATGATAGATTACCTGGGTCAGTGTGAAATTTTGTTAAATCTAATGCTTTTGTAGCTGCATTGTATCTTTTGGCCATAGCTTGTTTCATCTTCTCCTTCATTACAGCATCAATAATAACAGATGGTGCTGAATTACGCACAATCACCACCAACTTAAATCCATCTGACATAACAATCTTACGGTCAGCATGGAAGAGTTTCTCAGCAATTTTAACATCATCAACATAAAACACTGCAGCATTCCCATTGATCTTGTAATAGTGAGGTATAAAGACCTCTGGTGATATGAAACTCAGGAGTGCCCTCAGAACAACATCCTTTTCATGTTTAGCTCCATATGGTATTATAATCTGATACCACGGAAGTAATCCAGCTACAAATTTCTTTTTTGGTAAGCCATGGCCACTTCTTGGAGCTGGTGAGTTGAGCCGACCACCACGACCCCTAAATGGTCCTTTGCGGCCCTGTGTATGCACCTGCCCACCAGATGACCCCATATCAATATCATCGTCAAGCAGAAGCTTGGGGTCTTTCCATGTACGAAATTTGTTTTTGCCTTTGTTTGTACCAGTTTTAAAGCTGACGCGTCGCGTATTATTTGTATGAGTTCTATCATCATGCTCTAAAACAGAAAATAATTTAAGTAAATACTACATACTATAATTAAAAGATTATAGCACATCTACCATATTTGAATAGTATTTGATTTTTTTTATACAACTTAGAATGGCAAAGAAACTGATGGCCCACCTGATAGAAAGTGGTAACCGTCGTCTATAGATATGAGCAGTACCATGAACATAACAGAATATACTGTTTCACCCATGATACCCCCAGGTGTTACTCCTTTATACCCAGTAAATTCACACCATATCCCACCCTTCAAACCGAAACACAGCAATGCAAACACATATGATATTCCTCCACTGCTGGACATAAGCCTCCCCATAGACTGCCATAAAAAACAGTTCTGAGCCACCTGCATCCACTGACTTTCTGCAATGTATTTCAGGTCGTCACTCCATCTAGGTGATTGTCCTACACTGTTTTTACCCGAATGCAGTAGCCACTCTAGAACCTTTCTTCCCCATTGCCACTTCAGCTAGCAAGCTGAAGTGGCAATATTGGCGATACGCGAATGGCGACAGTCTGAAGGATAAGCATAGCCTTCAAGCAATGTCATGTTGGTTACTTTGGTTCTTTTGTAGATATCTTCATCATAGATTCTATCATGCAAAGAGACTCCGAGCAGAGGCCTCTCCATAGCCCGCTGAGTAATTTGAAGCTTTTGCATACAGACAATTGTGTAGGACCATGTTTCAGTTCCATAAGTCATTACTCGCAACACACTGGTTAATGACCTTAGTCTTCTAATTCAAAGGTATTTTGGATGAAAAGATGTGGCATAGTTCTCCTAATGCTGCCCAGCCGAGTTAGATTTGTTGATTGAACTCTTGGTCAAAATTGGTCTTACCCATACGGACAACTTGTCCCAGGTATACATACTCATCTACAACTTCGAATGTAGTGTTCTCAATCATAACCAGTATAGGTGTGACATGGACATTAGACATGATTTTAGTCTTGTCCATGTTCATCTTTTCTCTCTATTCAGATCCTCCAGCGATTTCACCATGATTACTATGACATCAGAAAATGAAAGGTAAGTGATGTATTCGCCATTGATGTTTATATCATATCTTTTCTAGTCCAAGAGTTTGAAAACATCTTCTAATGCAGGTGTGATGTTTCGCCGATATGACGTCACCCTGTCTTAAACCTGTCTGCACTAGGATGGGTTTCATAAACTGGTTCTGTACTCAGATAGACATCGTAGCGTTACTGTACATACACTTCAACACTTTGATATACCTATAGTCAATCTAGCACCGCTGGAGGGACTGTAGTACCATCCATGTCTCGACCGAATCAAAAGGTTTTTCATAATCCACAAACGCTAAACATAGTGGCAGATTATATTCTTCGGTCTTCAGTATAATATGCCGTAGCGTATGTATGTAGTCTATGATACTAAAGCTCTTTCAGAAACCACCTTATTTGGAGGTCATCGAGTTTGCGCGTAAGTTGTTGTCATAGGTTACTTAAAAAAGTATGGAGATATTCAAATTAATTAACTCACCAAAATGATCATGTTCCCAATTTCTTTGTCTTCCTCCTCCACGTTTTGGCATGATGATCTTTATTGTAAAAAAAAAATTATTATACACGTATTGTCACTACACAAAAAATGAAAGTTTCAATAATTAGAAATTTTACATCACCTTTCGGAAAACGCACTTTATGAACTGATGAGTACTTCTGCCACGCTTTTTTATTTATTACGCACGATCACAATTTCTTTTCTATCAAATTAAGTAATAAAAGAAAATGTAAATAATGAAAAAGCAAAACGTAGTAACTATATTTAACTAAAACTCAAAGGAAAAATAAACTATAATATTATGGAATATTAAAACGACGAGAACAAAATGGTTAACCATAAAATGAGTGACAAATAGCATCATCCGCCATTAAAAATAAAAAGGTGTAATGTTACAAGTCACAAAATATATTTCTGACATTTTCTACGAAAAACTCAAAAACTTATAGAAAACAAGAATAACTGAAATAATAAACTAAATATATACTAAATATTAGATGTTATTAAATGTAAAGTTGTGAGCTGTTTTTTTTTTTGTAATAAATAGTTCATTTTTATTAATTCACACATTTGTACCTTTTCAGAAAAACTACTATTGCCTTTAAATAAAACACTTTCATGACGATTCGAACACATTATCTAGGAGGTGATTACCAACAAAACTTCATAACTCCCTCTGCCTAAACTAACGTCACTCCATACTTTTTATCTTCTTTTACCGTAATTACATCACTATCTCAATTATATAAATAGAGCGTCAAGTGTCCAAAACAGGACAACATTTAGACAGCTAATTAGACTTTTGACTATGTGAATTTTGAAATTTTTTTTTAACCTAAACTAAATGTATAATTTTTTAGTTTTGCTAATTATTAGAAAGAATTTTCCAGATCACATGGATTGAAATGTTATTTCTAAATTTAAATTAAATTGTATATTAATACAAACATACATATGTACCTATAACTTACTAATTAATATACATGTATTAATTAAACCAAAGGCCTTTTCAATTATTTAAAAACTAAAACATATTTTAAATTTAGACAGATATCAGAATCATAATAATCACAAAAGATAAAAATCATTACGAATCATTCCTTTAAGTTTATCTGATTGTTTTTCTTTTTCAAATGTATTAACCTTACAGTATTATATCTCCCATACGCTGAGTAAGAAATATATATTATAATAACCTTTTTTATATGAAGAAAAATGTCGATTGTATTTGGTAAAGAATTTGTATAAAGATACTAAATATAATGTAAGATTATAATTTGCTCATTCTTTCAATTATAATCATCTATTGACAGAAGATTAGCATTGCTGACAGCAGTACAGTATTGTATGGGATTTTTATATAATGAGCTATACTTAGTAGGCATGTTGCCGTAGTTCGTGTAGGTTGCAGCATTTTTACTATATTTAATTATAAATGTGTTAAGGAAATATACTCAATGTTTGGATTTTGTTTTAACTTTATAAATAGCACCTACTTCTTTAATTTAGGAGTCGACAATCTACGACGTAATATGGCTATTACGTTATATCGTAAATATTCTGTAAAAAATACTCATAGTCTTTTATTTCAAGATTTTTTTTATTGAATACAGTGAATGCTCTATATAAGCAACTTATTTGAACCAATTACAATAAAAAAAAAGTTTCTTATAGAGAAAAGTTGCTTATAGGGGAAAACAGGTGTATAAAAATACTTACCAGCTGAAAAAAAAGTATTATATATCTTTACTTATTTATTTTTACTTATTTCTTTAACTAAGTTATCTAGAATAAATAAATTCGGTTATATTTTGCAAAAGAAAAAAGTTATTATTATTGTTATCATAAAAGCGTAGTTATAATTTATATTAAAAAAATTAAACAATCATTTTTTAATAAATCTTAGGTTTAGTACAGTCCCAATTGCCAAAACAAACAAAAACAATTACATATATTTGTTCATGATAGTTTTTCTCTTATTCTTTGTAACAAAAGAACCTCATTTCAGGGGAAGTCATTTTCTTTTGCCCATTATATCATCAAATTAAAAGAATTTATAACATCATTGATGTTTTTATTAGAGTCATCCGACGTTTTTTCATTTTCTTCAATAGGACTAGTTTCACAAAAATATTAATTAATTAATTTAATAATTAACAAAAACTAACAGAATTCAAGTAACTATTCTACAGAAATTCACTTAAATATTAGCACCACAAAACACAAACATATTGTAATAACAGATTTTTTTACAATTTGAGGTCACGTTGTTGTGAACAGCTGATTTTACTTCTGAATTGGCCTAAACTTAAATATTTAGCTTTAAAAAAAAAATAAGTTGCTGATACAGAACAGTTGAACTAAAAAAAGTTGCTTGTAAAGAGCTTGCTTATAAAGAATGTTGCTTATATAGAGCGTTCATTGTATTATATTTAGAAAAATAAATACCATCAAACATATTATACAACCATCTAGTTCCCTACTAAGCAAAGTTTGTTTTCAGATACTAGACGGTAATGGGCATTAGACAATTCTGGAGTGGTTACAGACAAGATGTTACAAAATCTTTAATAAATCAATTACATACTATGATTGAACTGCATTTTTATAATTTAAATAGTAAATGCAAACATTGCATAAATATACTGTACACCAAGTTGAAAATATAATTAATTAAAGTCCATGACATATCCATAAAAAAATTCTATGGTGCCAGTATTAAAAAACAGTAGTCATACATACATATCTGTCACGTTTGTCTCCCATTAGGGTTGGCAGAAACAATGGAATGCCTAATGCTTCGATTCAAACAAACCTCTTTCTCTTCTTCCACATTCGTCAAGTCGTTAAATGTATACTATTGTACAAAAAAAGGAGAGAATAGATAAAGTAATTCAGAACTGCATTTTATAAGCATGACATTTGCACAGGTATTCCTTATTATATTATAAGTGAGTATTATAAAGGAATTTAGGGAAATTACTCTGAGAATGGAAAATAATGGATGAAGTCAAATTGATTTTTCTGTTGAAAATATATTGAGCATTTTTATATAGACATTATTATGGCTTTGCTGAAACCTCATTTTTAAGTATTCATGACTTAATGTTAGATTAAAAACTGAAACATTATTAGCTGACAACTTATTTTTTATAAACTTTTTTAGAATATTATTTCTACTATAACTTTGTAACTACAGAGATTATGGTCACACTGTTCTTGCTTGACGCTTGACCGCTTGATAGAATCTACTTTTCATTTTTGTCTATGGTGCACGTTCAAGCATTTCGTTATACGCATACACTAAAAAAAAAAGCAATTCTTTCTTTTCATAAACTTGAAATAATTTTAGAAAGTATATACCACTATGAATAATATTGTAAGAAATTTATAGATTACTAATAAAATTTATTTTATTTCAGTTAATAATGAATTGTAGAATATGATATAAGTATTTCAGTAAAATTTCAATGGACTCGTAAAACAGAATGAAGTAGAATCCATGGCATTTAAAAATAAAACGACCACAGACAAATTTCGTGTGCTTTTCGAGTCTGCCATGTTTTGTCCTATTTGTCGCGCTTGATCAACGCGTTCTCGTTTACTGTTCCGAGCTGTTATTTTCTGAATGTATTGCGGGCTGTGTTTTGTTTACAAATAGTGTAGTTAATTGTGTTGTATTAAAATCTGATTGAACATTGGATCAATCGATCAATTTGCTACCTCTGTGTGTGACAGTGTAATTCGTATTTCAACAATTTATAAAATCATTCACTAGCTTGCTACTGTCTGCATTCAAAGAAATTCCGTCGTGTTTTTTGTAACATTCGTATCCGCCAATGTGATTTCATAACATTTTAGCGTTTCTGTCTGTGACGCAACCCACGTGCACATTATAACGAGTATCGCATGCACATTTGTTGTTATTTTGTTCGCGAGTTCAATTCGTCCAGGTAGTCGGGTTCCGATCAAACGGAAATCGCGCGGCGGAGCTGTGGTATCATCGCTTTGCACCGACTGCATATTGTCATTTTAAACGGTGATTACTGATCGTAATAGATATTAATTAGTGTTGTTGGAGTGCTCGGGCTGCCGGGTGCAGCATACACGTGACGCGTGCACGGGACGAGTGTTTGGGTGTTAGTCGGTTGCGGTTTGCTTGCGGGCGCACGCCACAGTCCGCCTGCAGTGCAGTGCCGAGCGCGCGGTGGCGGCGGCGGCTCTTGACTCGACGCGAGGTGAATCACCGCTGGCGTGTTGATCGTGCTTGTTTACCCGGGAGTGCATAAGTGCGTGTAGCGGAAGTGTATAAGGCATGTGCGCCGCCGTTTGGCGCCGATGACACCGCCGTCGGAGGTGACGGCGTTTTAATCGCGAGTGTGTGTTGTTATGATCCTTGGGTTATGAGTGTGTGACAAAGTTGTAGAGTGAGGACACTGGAGCCCCTAGACGGAGTTGGGCCCGCCGGGGCGGCCCTGGTGCTTCTCGGGGCTCCTCACGAAGGCAAAATGGCTGCGTGGAACCGCCACCACCATTTCAACATGCTCATGGATGAGAATGCTAAAAATAAATGTAAGTACCTACTAATTTATATATTTTTTAAACCTTTCCCGAGGGTACTTGTTTATTCTTTAGTTCATTGATATAATATTTTTTTTTTTAAATTCAAATGGGATACCAAAATTACTTAAACTCTAGATCAGGTTTTTATTTTGCATATGGGTCTCATATATTTACTATGCTAGATTATGCATGTTCTTAACTATTTTTTTTTTCTTTGCTTTCTCATTACTCTTAACATTTCTTATAAACTTTTTTAAATGGATTCTTTATAAGTAAATACTTTGTATAATTAGTTAATTTTAAACTTTCACATTGTTTACACATATTTAAATACACTATTTACCTGTAAAATGTTTCATCATGCTAAGCCACTATAGTGTATTTAAATATCTTGTATAATAATAATAATTTAAAAATAAGATATTTTATGATGATATAATAATTTAAAATTTTCCTATAATATCTAAATTTATCTAATGTAAAGTAGTATTTGTACTTTAGTTTAACATCTATCAAACATATTAAAAATCTGAAGTTTACAAACGATTTAAATATTTCGACATCTGTACTTAATGGATGAGTGAACAATCTCTTATAATTTTTACTTATAAAAAAAAGAGGAAGAATTTTAATTATTTAAATTATGTATGCATTTAAGTAGTCATAAGATCCCAGACCAACTAGACAATTGAATATATGAGTTTGTATGAGAGGTTGGATGTTGTGATCTCATTCTATCTTATACATTTGCTAGTGGGGATGATTCCTTTTATGGATCCATTTGCAGTGGGAAGCAGGTATAGAGAGCCAGATCTTTTTGTAAAACAATTTGGAAATTTAAACCATATTGGTTCATGAAATTGTAACTTTATTTCAAAGTAAAATTAATTAAACTCTGCTAGTAGTATCATCATCATCATCATTACTATATCAGCTGTTAATTGTTTACTGCTGAACATAAGCCTCCTACATAAGGAGGATTTTTTTTATAAAATTTAGAATGGCAAACAAGCTGTCGGCCCACCTGATGGGAAGTGGTAACCATCACCTATAGACATGAGCAGTACCATGGACTTAACAAAGATCAAAACTGTTTCACCTATGATACCCCCATATGTTGCCATTCCTGAGGACTCAGGTGTTATTCCTCTGTACCCTGTAAATCCACACCATATCTCACCCTTCAAACCAAAACACAGCCATGCAAACACAACTGCTTTACGGGTGAAATACAAATAGGGATAGAGGTACCCAAGCAAATGACTTTTGTACAAAGTCTCCCTCTTGCCAGTAGTTGCCACATTTAACAGTCAAGTTGGCAACCACAGTTAGGATTGGTGATGTTTTGACAAGGAAAGCTGCTGTCAATTCCTTGACATTGAGTGTCCTTAGTAGTCTTTTGTTGCACCCACGGGAAAGAAGAAATGGTCCATCCTATGCTGAAACCACATATTTAGTAGCACGAGACATTACAAAAAGTGAAGTTGATAAGGAGCATAAGAAATAATTCTGTTTACACGCTAATGGCAACCAAGTTGATTGTCCACCTAATGAAAGTAGTACCTATTGCCTATCACACTATGGATGTGGTGTATGTAACACTATGGTACCAATGTTATACTTATTTTTTTAATCTGCCTTCACTTCATTTGCTTCTAAACAAAATTTAAACATTGAACTGTACTTTTCCCAGCAGGCATGTGCTTCATCAAATTCACTGAACTTAATCATTATTAACTTTCAGTTCAAAACACTTCAGTTTAAAACATATTTTAAATTGAAGTATTTTGTATTAATTGATTATTAAATTGATTATTATATAATGTTTGCACTTTATTACACACTTAACTAGGTTTACTTCTTGCCACATGCATGATCACTCACCTGATATAAAATCAGACTAGATATTTCCAAGTACCCTCCAGCACAATGTATGATAGAAATTGGTGCTGTTTTTGAGTAATTATAGGATTTATTTTCATTTCTATATGATTGCAGCAGATTGTAATAGGTCACCATTACTGATATAATAAATTTTGTTTGTTTGTTACCTGTTAGCACCTTAACAGCTCAACTAATTAGTATGAGCGGGGGAGAAGGGATTGTTAGTAATGGGGATAAGTAGCCCCATTGCTAGCAATATGCCCTGTCAGATTAACCATCATAATTGATTTATTGTTAGATTCATTACAATGGCTAACTGACCTGTTTCAATCTCACCTTTCATCCCTCACTGGTGCCCCGCTAGTATATACCGATAACGCAGGCGGGGTTACTATTCTATTATCATCTATTAAAAAAAACAAATACTATGAAATTTGGTATACACTTACTATATGGAATGCTTAAGTTTATAGGCTACTTTTTAACTCAGTCGGTGAACATATCCCAGTCGCGCAGAGAAAATCACGGCTAAAAGCTAGTAATTTTATAAAATAAAAGGAAATTGGTGATTTAACTAGACTATACGTTTTTTTTTATACCACTGAAGTGGCGAACAAAGCATATAGCCTATCTGATGGCCAGCGGACTGTAATACCACGAGCATTACGCGCGCTTTGTCGACCCTGAAAAAACCTCTTTATATCTTTTTTGAAGAACCCCTTCTTGTAGTCTCTTGCAAAATCTTCGACCGGCAGCTCATTCCATAAATTAAGCGTTTGTGGGTGGATACATTTCTGAAACTGCGTTATAGGCTGGCGAAGCCCCAGTGAAAGATGATAGGTGAAGGTGTAAACAGGTTATTTGACCCATTGTGATGAATTCAACAAAAATAATGGTTTCTAAGGGTAACTGCGTGGAGGTCAACCAGAGAGGGTATGATGTTAGCAATGGTATTGCTAGTCTCCATTACTGACAATCCCTTCTCTGCTCCGCAGTCATACTGTTGAAGAAATAAATCCTTATTACTTTTAAGATTTTTTAGAAGCCAAATAATGGAGGTACGGTTCTTGACTGAAACATGATCCTGGATTCGATTCTCAGATAAACCAGTTTTTAAAAATTTACATTTTGATTCAGGTCTATGATTATGATTATGTTTGTTTATGATTGTGTTCTAAGTATTAGTTGTCTGCTGTTTTTAAGGTCCTAGTCATTGTCATTATTAATGAGGTGATCCGTGGACTAGACTGAAGAGTGGTTTAATTTAAATTGAATTAAATTAAATAAAAAAAAATGAAATTTTGTATGTGTTGTCTACAATCAAATATGGTACAATATATGGACCTGTGGTGTCCTGAACACTACATAATTTTCTGCTCATCACCTCTGTAACAAGCATCACATAACTGCAGAGAGCTACTATGGATTTACATTGTTGAATGCACACAGCCCTTCTGACCCACCTACAAAACATGTGCCCTACATTCCTTTGCCCTGATTTTCCGTTCGAACTTACGTGGGAACTATTCATTTTATTTTTATAAAGGCAGTCGATAGTTCTTCGATCGGCCGAACTTTAAGTAATTAGAAACAATTTTTAGCTTTCTTTGTCAGTGATTATGCGCATTGAGGGGGACAGTGGTTAGATATGATTCAGTTTTTACAAAGGTAGGCAATTAGAGTCAGGCAATTTCATTATCGACAACAAATATTTATAAAATATATAAAATGTAAGGATGTAATATGTTGAAAATAAATCTGATCTGTTTTGCTCTGATTATTATCATGCACTTTAGTATAATTATTATAATTTTTTTGGTCTTTTACTGTTATTTAAATACAGTGTCAAACAAATAACATTTTTCTAAATCTGCGAACATGTATACGACATATTATACCTCCTTATTTTTATTGGTATAAAAACATTGATATATCAATACTATTATAAAAACTACAGTATGTATTATACCCGAATTTAAACAATAAACCTTAATAATTAGCCCCAATCGTCTACCTTTAAAACAACATTACACTTTGCATAACTGAAGTGTAATCGACCTGGTGGACAGATTGCTTTATGACATAATTTGTAGTTTATTTTGGAACGGATTATGAGCGCTCCACATAACCTCGGCTCGACCCCAAAACTATTTAACGCGCACGGCGTCACTTCCCCGACCCAACCTAATTCAACCCTCGCAGATGGGCTCCTGCACTGATGCTTTTATTGGATTACACGACTTTTATGCCCTCGTTGTCGAGAAAAGCTTAACAATATTCAATTGGAATAACAGGTATATACCAAAGCCACAATGCATATTGATTACGTGGATAACTTCATTTGCGTCCTTTTGTTTGTTTGCCTTACGTGCAGTCAACATCGTCCGCCATACCGCGCTTTCGTGAGCAGATTGTTGTCAAAATTCAACCCATTTTTATCTGACTACAAATTTTATTTTTTTCACGTGTATGTTGGTATTGTTTATTTCTTCATATCGTCTGGTATTACCAGGATACATTTATTACTATGATATTGATGAATTTTACATGAGAACTTACGAGCCGTAAAGGTAATATAAAAAAGTAAACAAGGCGCAATGGTTTAAATAATAAAGTATTTCATCGATCAAAAACGCCATATTACGTAAATCACCAAAAAATATCAGTTTTTACACTTATAATCATTAAAATCATAACTCATGGTTTTAATAATAGTATTAAAATTCGGCCAATATTGTCATCCGTTCAATATTCCGCGCAAAACTCCGCATCTCTTCCCACGCTTTTGGCACTCCACCGGAGATGGTTGCATTTGCGGGATTCAAATAACACAGAGATAGTGCTCTTAATACCCAGTTTCTGGGAAAGCCGGGGCAGTCTCGAGCTTTATTTACACGACGATTTAATTGGCCCATTGGAATTTCCTCACTTTGACAGTTAAAAGTTATCTTTGTTGCCGGGTTGGACTGTCTAAAAAGAGACGGGGTCTGATAGTCTTAAAAGAGATTCTGATTAATCAGCGCACACTCGAAGCTGTTGAAGCATTATTTTTCGTGCAAGTTGAAATGTCAAGGGAGCTGATGGTCCACCCGGTGGAAAATGATTGTTACCTATCTAGTTATACA